GTGAACAGATGCTTGGGAAGCTCTTAAATCCATGCTATGGTAAGTGCACACTCTAAGCTTTGCGCACTTTCTAAAATCCGCATAGTGGTAAGTGGGCACGCTGAGCATTTTGCGCACTTTCTAAAATCCACATAGTGGTAAGTGTGCACGTTATACTTTGCGCACTTTTCTGAAATCCTGTATAGTAAGGGTTATGCGCAGAGATATGCTCACGTGATGTCTGCTTCAAGTGTCTTTCACAGGATAGACGGATGATGACTCAGATGAAGCGAGACGGGTAATATTCCAGGTAAGGGAGTCAGGTAAGGAGTAGCATAGTGAAAATCGCGACCAGACAAAGTGCAACTGCAGTGACTGAGTATTTGTGCTTGTGTTGATGAGCTGGTGACAGGTGCGGCTGATTAATACAGGTGATCAGGTGATTGTGAACTGGTGTGTGAGGTGATTGGGTCTGACGAACTGGAGTATCCCTGACAATTATCCTCATCTCTGCTTTCATAAATGCTCTTCTGATCATTGTAATCATAGGGGAGTTACTATGAACCCATATATGGGCTGATACCATATAAGGAAGGCTATGTAAATGAAGCATAAACATTTTTAAGCGATTTAAGTAGTTTTTAATAAAACTATATAAGTATGTCTACAAATGTCATGCTTAAAAATACAAAATGCTCATGTCATGCTTAAAAAAAATACTACAGTTACGTTTATAGACAGTTATGTTTTTGGGGGAAATATTGATTTAATGTTAAATCTAAATTTACTTTGTCACTTTTAAGGACTATTAAAGCTTCTTGTTCATGGAAATAACAGAACCAAAGACAACTTGAAACAATTTCAAGATATGAATATACAGCAGCTTTAAGTTCTGGATCCTGAACAACCACAAGACTCAACGCTAACAAAGATATGTTACAGAAAAATATGTGACACTGGACAACAAAAGCAATCATAAGGGTCAATTTATAATTTTTTTTTATTGAGATTGATACATCATCTGAAAGCTGAATAAATAAGCTTTCCATTTTGTTAGGATATAATAATATTTGGCATAGATACAACTATTTGAAAATCTGCAATCTGAGGGTGCAAAAAATCTAAATATTGAGAAAATCGCCTTTAAAGTTGTCCAAATGAAGTTCTTAGCAATGCATATTACTAATCAAAAATTAAGTTTTGATACATTTGTGGTAGGACATTTACAAAATATCTTCATGGAACATGATCTTTAGTTAATATTCTTATGATTTTTGGCATAAAAGAAAAATCAATAATTTTGACCCATACAATGTATTTTTGGCTATTGCTACAAATATACCTGTGCTACTTATGACTGGTTTTGTGGTCCAGGGTCACATATAAAGTCGATTGTTTCTCTCTCAATGTTTAAGTTTAAAGCTTAAAAATATTAAAGTCATATGATGTTGCTAAAAAGAACATTATTTGGTGTATTTGGTGTAATGAAATGTGTTTATGCGGTTTAAAAACAAAGTAGTTTCGCTTTCATAACGAAACACAGCGTCACACACGGCAGGCTAGAGTGAGCGGCGGCCGGCGGATTCGACGAAGGAGCATCTGGGTCCAATTGTATTTACAACACTGAAACTCCAGAAAACCAGTAATGATGCAGCTTTGACAGTTACAGATTTGAAAAACAAAAAGGCGGGAAAAAAAGAACCCTAAACTCTAAAGCAAAGAACCGTCTCGGTATATAAAAGGTTCTTCAGGAGGATACGGTTCTAAAAAGAGCTGTTTCTACGTGTAAAGAACCTTTAAAGAACCATCTTTTTTTAGAGTGTAGCTTTGTAAACACAAGAACATTCCAAAGCGTTTTATAAAAAAACATTACACCATCTCAGGCCTCAATTACGTCCTTATAACGTTTTCCTAATGTGGCTGTGAGAATGTTCTTCCTTTGTTATCTTGAAACATTGTGCCAATGTTTTATTGACAACATTGTACAATCTGTTCCCTCAAAAAAACATCCTCAAAATGTTGCAGGTAATATGTTCTCACTGAGTTATGGTGATATGCTACGTCTTACGGAATTCAACGGTGATCTTATCTGTGACCAGCATTCAAATAAAGTGTGGGAAAAAGTCTCCTTTATTAAGCCAGGGAGCTACAAGGGTCAGACTGGAAAAAATGGTTTAAAAATGTACAATATTACACATTCAAAAGTTTTTTTTTGCCATAATGCATTAGTACTGATTTTGACCACCAGAGGACAGCACTGACCTAACTTGGGAAATTAATGGTGACATATTGGAATTTATTATTAATTGTGAAATTCCACTTGCTTGATTGTAATCTAGTGCTAAGATATTCAATAAAGTGTGCCATATATGTCTAACAAAATGAAAAGAAAAAAAATCTGTATTTAAGTTAGGCTAGTTTAATGGCAGTACAAAATTCCATATTTATTTGTTTACTGTTTAAATAAGAAATTCTTTATTTCTGAATGTATATATCTTTCTACTGTCACATCTAAAATCATTGACTGATATGGAATGTAAACAGTCCTTTACCCGTGGAAGGGAGGGACTAGATGCACAGTAGGCATAAAGGAAGTGATACCTGTAGGAATATAAATGGTTTGATTTTACCTCTTCCCTTTACAGGCGGTTTTCGCGTGTGATCTGACATGTAGGAACATATTCTAGTGGAGGTACGGTAGGCAACTTTTCTTGTTTTTGAATGTTTATGGTTAGTTATACATTAAAATCTATCAGTAATATAGCTTAAATCATAATATGTTTCCAGAGAATCTTTTTTTCATGTCTTTTTCTCTCTTTATGTTGACTTTACCTTTGCTGTTGAAGGTGGGCAGAAAATCTGTTTTTAATAGTAGACTACACTACACTGTGTCTTGAGACACAGCTCAATACAGTTAACACAGAACTACACTGAAATGCTAACTGATTTTGCTGTCATTTTCTAAAATCACTTCCCATCTGAAATGGATCTGAAATGCAGCAATACAATGTTTACTTTAGCTGTATGTTTGAAATGAATTTGACATACTTTAAAGTTTTGACTACTTTTATTCAGAGGGTCAAAGATACAGCACATTTTACATACACTGATCATATAGGCCTAATGTAACACTATATGGTAAATTGACACTGCTTTGAAAATAATACTTTTTGTAACATGGAGAAATAAGGTGCATAAAATAAAATAAAAACATCATCCACCACATCCATAACGGAGTCACCATTTAGAAAATGCACCCAAAATACAAAATAATTAAAGAAACATCACAAATAAAAATGATAACATTAACATTTTGTTTTAGCACAGAGTAACAGAATGAGCATAAAACTGTAATATATATATATATATATATATA